TTCATTTACAGCATGTTTTTCAAAATTGTTTGTAATTGTTTAAAATGATTTTCTGGTTGTTTATAGTTGAGCCATTTAAAAATTGAAAACTACAACAAATTAACGATAAACTAAAAGTGAAACATTTTTTTAATTTTTGTGTTGAACAACTCTATCAATTCAACCGTTATTAAAATTCAATAATCTTGGTCTATATAGCGTCGAGACACTACCGTATTTCTTGATCTATAAATTCGTCGAAATAAAGAAAATATTTTCTGCGGAATTTACAATAATTGTTCTCGAAAACATTACTCCATTTAATTTATCAGAAAATATTAGCAAATGTTCCAATTAATTTCACCGTTGCGTCTGATGTCGTTTCGCAGATATTCGGTACCTTGCGACAAATCGCCTGACAGGCTCAAGTGTCGATGTGGAACGCCGCCGAGGATCTGCGCGAGTCCCGTGGACCGTGGCGACAGCTTGGCAACAAGAGAAGGACCACAGGAGGCCGAGATGGATCTCACTCTGAAGGCCCACCATCCCACGTCCGTCAGGCATTCATTATTCCATCACTTACCAAGTAATCACCAACAGCAAGATATTGTACAGACCATGGACGAGCCATTGGATGTCACTCTTAATAGTAGCAAGAACAATTAAGGGTCGTATCATGAAAGACGGTCCGCGGGCAATCTTTAAGAATACTCTCAAAGTTTGACCCTTAAAAATATTTGCATACGTAGAACTCTGCATCAGTTTTGAAGGAATTAATAAGCGGGAAGAAAAGTGAAGACGAAAAGAAGCAAATACATACGTTCGTAAATATACACGCATCATTTTTTCAAATTTTTGTATTTACATGTTTTTACAATCTTTTTTTTTTAATTTTTGTCCTTTTATTTATATTAATTGTTTTTAATTCTTTCATAATTTAACAAAATGAATTAAATTAAAAAATAATTTAATTTTAATTACACGTGGGCGCATAAATTCATACATTTAAGATTTATATATTCTTTTGCAACAGTTATCAGGAACCAACGATCAATGAATAATCGTTGATCATTAATTGATTCTTGATTGTTCATCACAATCGTCGATTTCTGATCGTATCCCATGAAAAATATTAACATTTAATATAATATTAAAAGAAAGATATTTGGACTAGAAAGAAAGTTGATTACATTGTAAAATGTGGATATTATGATGCTTCCATAGTTATGTATTTTATCGTTATATTTAAGATTACTGTATATTAGTAAGAAAGAGAGAGAGAGTGTGTGTGTGTGTGTGTGTGTGTGTGTGTAATCAGCGTACCACAAAAAAATATTTAACGGATGCTGTCATCTTTCTACGTTTCTAACTTTGAAATTTCTTGTACTGATTCCACGTTGCAGGCTGTAATGATTGAGAACGAAGTATTTTTAAAGCAATATTTTATGATAACAATTAGGCACTAAAATATCTTTCGAGATATGCGATTTAAAGGTATAACGATTTGAACACATAATCAAAGATTCTCAAATAAAAGAGAGCAATAAATATACGCTATATTTACTTTTTTGTTATTGAGATAGTTGTTAAGTTTTATTTTTTTTTTTTCATTAATTATTGTATCATAATGTATTCTCTTTAAAAGTTTTATTAATAGCAAGGATACACCGGGTATCCGCTATTTGGTATTATTCGGCACTTTTTTACTATCCGGTCGGATAGCCGGATATTATTAGTATCTAGCAATACATCCGGCTGAAAATTTATATTGAAAGTTGCATCATTGATGCAAACTTTCTATTCTTCTATTCATTCTATTCTTTTCAGCTGAACTTTTTATACAGTTTATGATTTTGCACAATTATAATGATTTATACCGATAATTGAAATAGATTGTCACCGGAAACGTTGTTATCCATCATGAAAAATTTATTAATATTAAACTTTGATTATACTAAGCAATGTTGAAAACTGTATTGCAAATACAACCTTGTTCCACAGCCGGTCAATTATTATTGCTATATTTTTCCTTGCTTTCCTTTTTTTTCAAATTTTAGAGAATTCATACTAAATATCCAGATATTCGGTACCGATTCTCTAAAATTTAATTTATCTGGTATCCGATCGGTTAATTACCCTATCAAATATTCGATCAGATATTAGATATCCGATATATGGTATCACATTTTTTTCGGATACCCAATATAATTTTATAATCCGGTGTATCACTACAAATAATAGATTGATATCGTCATACACTTATTAATAAACAATAAAAAGTACTTTCAACCTCGTGAAGGTAAAGTTATAATAATAAAAATGTCGTAGCTGCATAACAAGGATGATTAATTTTTTTTACTTGCTAAACGTCATGTTTGTAAAAAGGAATTAGTATTCATATTACTATCACACCGTAGAAAAATTAGTAATTAATATTTCTGATATAAAAAGAAAAGATGAGAAAAGACTAAAAGGCTTACGAGTAACGGAAGTGCAAAGTGATTTTTACTCGGGTGGATCTTTATAAGCTACGTTCGGCAATGCAAATCTGAGGCGTCGGAGTGCTCTTTTTCTATAGTGCACGTGACATATGCTATAACTATAACATAAGAGCACTCCGACGCCTCAGATTTGCTATTATCGAACGCAGCTATTGTTTTCGGGTTTCTGTATGAAAATCGGAAGTCGTAATATCCGCTAAAATTAAATGGATTTGTAACTCGATCATTGCTTATTTTCGTGCATCGTTGTTATTTGTATAAATAATTGTCAAGTGGATGAGATAGTAAAATGCGTTTCTGTACATACATATAACTATAACTAATTAGTAGTTTCAAATTCTCCATCAAGTGTCAAAAGATATGAATTTTTTCAAATTTACGATGTAAGATGTTCACCACGCGCATTATTAAACAGTTTTGCAACCATTTTACGATTTGTCTCGCTGATTGAATTATACTTTTAGATCTAAAGGAATAGTCTTATCTCAGCGAAGAATCATAAAACAGTTGTAAAACTGTTGAATCTGCTGAACGCGACCATTGAATTATGCATGATTTAACTACCATTTGTCCACAGGAAAGAATCGTATCCTGTGACGTACAGGGTATCCGGAACTTAAATGTCAAAACTTCGAGAGTATGTAAGGGATCAATAAACTAAGAAAAAGTCTTGTAGAAATATATTCGTTTTTGCTTCTCGTCTTAAAGAAGATCGCAAAAAAGACGAAACCTAATTGCTTTGTTCTTGGACGTGAAGGAGTAGTGTCTTGGCCATTCCGATCACTTGATCTGACACCACTGGACTTCTTTGTGTGGAGGATCCTAAAACGGGAAATTTATTCGTTGTCAATATCAACTCAAGAGACTAATTGAGAAATCGAATCAAAGTGCACTTAAATATCGCCAGATCAGTGTTTGGCTGCAACACGAGCTGTCCGTACTGATACGCTTGCACTCCTCGCTGTAAGAGACCAATATAAAACAATATCTACATTAAGCAAATGAATAAATACAACATGAATAAGTAATAAAAAGGAACAAAAACGAAAATTATGTTTTGTCTCTTGTGCGATTTTTTTTCCAAAACAAAGTAAAAATTATATTTTCTATAAGGCTAATTCTACAATGTGCTTTTTGTTTTCTGTTTCTTGCTGTTTATCTCTGTTTGTCTCTTGGCTTTTTGATCAAGAAGGCAAGAGACAAACAGCAAGAAACAGGAAACAAAAAGCACATTTTGTAGAATTAGTCTTAGACTAGCTTTAATCTTAGTTTATCGATCCTCTATGACTGACAATGAGTCCGCACAACCTCGCTTTAAGAGGCCCTAAGCCGTAAAGCCGTAAGAAATTGACCAATCACAATCGATTATTTTTCTCGCATTCAACTATAATTGTTCAATTTTTTACGACTTTATGGCTTAGAGCTTCTTAAAGAGAAGTTGACCCAGCCTATACGCTCCCGAAGTTTAGATATTTAAATTCCAGACACCTGTATCTGGAATTGCCATCAATGCATATGACAATACGTAATTAATGACATCGTTCACAAGTTATTATCAATATATTCGCATGTCCTTTTTCACGACTACATGCGCGATATGACTGAGAACAGGAGGAGCTGTGTAAAATCTTTCAGTTACTAGAGCCTTTGATAAGAAACGCGAAGTGTTAAAGCTGTACATAGATCCGATATATTAATATACATATACATATTTATATATATATAATAAATTTAGCGCGATACAATAATTCAAGATACATTGTTTTAAAAATAAATATTAACTGCTATACAATTATGTTTTTTGTTTATTATATATTTTTATTTGTTTATTATATATAATTTTAATATATTGTATAATGTATATAAATCCCTTTATTTAATTTTTTATTTAAAAACATGTAATAATAATTCTTATTTAATGTAAAGAACCCTACAAGTTTCGTATGAAAAAATAACCCCAGTCAAATTGCTTCGTTTTGAGATATATTTTAGTTTTTATTCTGGACAAATATTTACTACATTCACATAAAATCAACAAAAAAAAATGATATCGAGCTTTAAAGTCACAACCTGACCCAGCTGGACAAATATAAAGCATAATATGCAAAAACTTTATGTATACTTTGTGATGCTGTCATAACAACACGAAATTATAATAAGTTTGGGTACTTATTACAATGTCATGTTATTCTTATATATTTTATGCAGAGTTGGTAAGTAACGCATCATTTGTAATTTTGTATCATCATTACCCCCTGTTACAAGTTACTATTTTCGATAACGAATAGGTAATGACATTACATTTTCTTCTGAGTAACGTTCATGATAACGTAGTGACATTTCTGATCCTATAAGAGGATTTTTTAATTTTCTTCAATAAATTTGGAGGTTTTTATATTTATACGATTTTAATATCGATAATTTGGTCGCTTCAGATTCAATATGATTGAGGTGAGTAATCAGAAGCCTTAACTAATAATTTTTCGTAGCATACGAAAGGAATATGATAAATAACAAGACTTTCATAAAATAATCTTGTATTTAATTCAAAATGTCATTTATTTCTTTTCAGCTTTCTTCGCGCTTTTACTCGCTGCATCGCCGGCTTTAACTTTCTTAGTTTTCTTTTTTAATCTGTAAAACGCATCTGTCCGTAATTTATTTCTTATCTGCCTTGCTTTACGCAGCTTGAAGCGGTCAAAATCGCTAAGTTCTGCACGCTGAAACAGAAAAATATTTTTCCCAAATATAATATCGTTCCAAGATGTATTATTTTTAAAGTTGTGCAACTATGTCATCAGAATTAAGTAAAAGTCGTCATTAAATCAGACGGCAATTCCTATCAAAAAATACTGATTCATCACATTTAACTTTTATAAAAATAAAATTTTTCGATATTTTATTTCTTTAAGACAAAAATACATTAATATCATCTGTTAGAAATGAAATAAGTACTATATTTATTTAATATAAATAGCAACTATTAGTATAATAAACAATTAACATATTTTATAATACCTTCTTTTTGGCTTCAACTTTCTTGGCCCACATTGTCTCTTTCCAAAGTTCGTTAATATTAGCTGCATTCCATGCTTTACGCACGACACGAGTCGATCCAGAAAACGGGAAACGTAAACGAAATTTTGTCAAGTGAAGCTGATTGAGTCTCATCTCACCACGAGGTACACCTGACGATGGACCATCAACGAGGACCTGTATGTGTGTGAAAAAGATATTAGTTCTAAGATTTAAAGAATTTGACAATTTATTAAAGAAGTCGCGACAATATTATCAGAAAGAAATTAACATCACCAAAGTCAGTCGGCATTTCCTATCATATTATTATTTCATCATACCAAAATATAGAAATTATTATAGTTCATTATATTATAGAATTATAGAGTTTATTACACAGAAATATGTATATATAAAAGACACACAATATTTTTATTTTAAACTTGTTTGAGTTAAGTTCTTCTCTGTCCATATTTAACATAATCAATATAAAAATGACATTTATTGTATAAAATAGCAAAAGAGTAAAGCTATTATCTATGTAAAATTTGCTGCACAAACAAAAAATGATTATAATTAATGTTGTTGAACGTAACAAATTATTAATCAATGTATTAGCTACAGAAAATCATTTGTTACTGTATAATTCCATAATTTTTTTATTTAAAAACAAAAAAAAAATTAAGAAAGAAAAATATTGTTCCTACTCGATTTTGATCGATGACATCAACAATGGTGATAAGTTTGCCTTGATAAGGACCATCGCTCACATAGGCCACACGGCCAGATTGTACAAACCTCTGGAACGGCTATTGAAAAAGGACAAGATATTGTTGATAGCATTTACAATCCACAATAGCATTTACATTACATCCTTATTTAGTATATAAATATTAAAATTTCATAATAAACAGAATATAATTTTATTTGTGTTTATATTACTTTAAATTAAAAAACTTATAAACAAAAATATGAATTTTGATGACTTCTTTTTGACTTTTTCTCTCGCATGGATGTTAGCTTCAGATTCAGTACTCAATTTTTCTTTCATTTATGTATGTTTTAAAACATACCAATATAGATTCATTTTAATCTCAATTTAACTTACTTTTAATCTTTTTCTAGTTCTAAGAATCAGTAAGAGATAATGAGTTCAATCAATTAAATTAATCTACATTAGTAGAAATGAATATTAGGGCGACTTGGATCAAATTCTGATTAACTCATAGTCCATTTAATTCAACAAAATAGAATCACTTAAGACAAAATTTCTAATACATAATTTGTTCTTAATCTTTTTTCATAATTAAACATAATTCTATTTTTTATAATTAAACAATTCTATTACAAATTTAATAATTTTATTCGTATTATACTTCATAAAATAATGATGAGTTTATTGGAGTTTGATGGAAGTCATTTTCAATGCGGTTTCTTCCTTAAGCTCTGCGAGCGTAATTTAAAAATAATTTATTGCGCGAATGAATAATGAATAATGATATTGACCGAATCGTGCCACTATAAGAACGCAAGATATGTTTAGATGCTCATGTGAAGATGCAAAATGTACCATGCGGTTAACAAACGCTCACTCGGTGAGGTTAGGTCGCAAAATAATTCATAAAGCAGTGACAGTGATATTAAAATTTGCAAACATGTTCATGTGAGTAAAACGAAATCTATCCGCAAAACATCTATCCGACGATTATTCATACGATCTTGCACGATTATTATTCAATAAGCTTCAATTAACAATCACTTACCATGATTTTCCAGGCTGAAAAAGACCATAGATCACGAAAGACCGGATGAATCGAGATCGCTACACTTCAACCAAAAACGCTTGATTCCAAAGGAGTCACGTGATCGATTACACATGTGGAAAAGCATCATCAAATATAATTAAAAGGATTAAATTGTTTGTTAACATTGAAAATATGTGAATTAATTTGCTATGTTTGTCAAGATGTGTCAAACAATTGAAAAGTAGCCATTGTCGTCAAAAGTTAAGATGTCTATAGACATCTGTGGTTAAGATACATTTTCACGAGCCATTTGGCCGTTTCAACTAGCCATTTCAGCGACAAATAGGAGATCACGTGATTCCTCTCTCTCTTTTGTCGTTGAAAACGATCCAAATTTCCCTGTTGGAGCGGCTTGTGAAATTGTAATTTTAAGATAATTTTAAGCATTTTCATGCTGCGATCGAAGCTTGACGCTCATATTTTCAGTATCAAAATAAAATAAAATACAATCGAAGTTGCTGCTGGCATATAATTTGATTGCAAATTTTGCAAAATTTCAGAATCAGAGGGTGCACTGTCACGGCGACTGCTTGCGTTCTCAACTGTGATTGGTCAATTCGCTTACTGATTATGTTTACGGCATGGTGGAAGTTTTTCTTCTCTAGTTTTTCTATGTGCCATGGGCTTGAGCCTCACTGATGGCATAACCAAGATTCTGGAAGTACCAGTATGATGAATTTTTTGTATGTAATTATATGAATTAGTTGTTTACGATTGAAAACGTAAAATTTTGTTAATTATTTTTGTATAACATTATACAAAATATGAATCTATCAAAAATTTTCGGATTTTTGAGAGGCGCAAATTGTGCTTTCAATAGACGAGTGCATGTGTTATTATCCGGTAATGTAAATACACAAGCAAGATATCAAAGCAGAGATGTTAAACTGACGAGGCCTAAGGCTATTGAGACGAATAAATATCGAAAACCAGAAGAAACGATTGGACTGTATGGATACTCCTTATTGGCAAGTAATGTTATCATCTATTATTCTAAAATTTTATTTATATTATAATAACAAAAGTGTTCGGTATTCATCTCAAATCTTAATAAAAATCCGGTTTAAATATGACAATTTTTAATTTGTTATAAAAATTAGAAAAATGCATGACATAATTTTATATCTATATAATATTTTAAATTAGTAATTACAATATACAGCTTAGCTGTATATTATTATGTACTTTCTGTATCTAAACAATTAATGAAATTAGGCTTATTCAATCTGTTTTTACATAAACTCTGTGCATTTAATTACTTTTCTGTAAACTATTCTCTGTTTTAATTAATTAAAAACAATTTTTTAATTATAGCAGAGGATAGTTCTATCATATAAAATTTAATGTTTTTATATTGTTTTTCTATTTCAGGGAGTACCTGTTATCACATTTGCACTTGGTACATGGCAAATTAAGAGATGGAAGTGGAAGCTGGATTTAATAGAAAAGTTAAAGCAACGTACTTCAGCAGAGCCAATTGATTTACCATCAGAGTAAGATTATAATATTAGTAATTCCAAACAAATAAATTTATAATAAATAGTACTTACAATATATAAATATTTCAATTTAGAATATTATTATATATTATAAGCACTATTTATTATAAATGTTTGACAAAAACATTATTTTTAGTCTAGATGAATTAAAAGATAAAGAATATTATCGTATGAAGGTGAAAGGCAAGTTTCTATATGAAAAAGAATTTTTGATAGGACCTAGAAGCTTAATTATTAATGGAGAAGCTATTAGCGAAAAAGGTGGTGGAGTATTTTCTCGTAAGACAAGTTCTGGATATTATGTGATTACGCCTTTCAAACTGGAGGATCGGGAGTAATTATGCTTTAATATTGATTAAAAGAAATTGAAAAGAGACTAATACTTTTACATCTTCTGATTTACTATAATTATTTTTCTTGAGTTTAGCTTGGTTATTATGATAAATCGTGGATGGATTCCTAAATGTAATCGCTCAACATATAAAATGGGAAATAAGATTACAGACTTCATAGAAGTTATCGGTATTATCAGAGGAACTGAAAAGCGACCTCCATTTATACCCAATAATGTATCTACGAAAGGTGTATGGCATTACAGGTAAATGAGAGCATAGTTTACTCTATTAGTTATTTCGATATTAATCAAATTAACAAAATTTTAAGTAATTGTGAAAACAATGTTTTCTATCACATAAAAATTCAATCAAGTATATTCTAGAGATTTAGATGCAATGGCAAAGATAGCAGAAGCAGAGCCTGTATACATAGAATTATTGGCCGAGTACGATACACCTCAGGGTCCAATCGGAGGTCAAACAAAAGTAGCTTTAAGAAACGAACATTTTAGTTATATAATTACTTGGTACTCGTTGTTTGCCTGCACGAGCTACATGTGGTTCCGACAATTTGTACAGAAATTACCTCTTATTTAAATGCATTTAGATATTTATATATACTTACCTATTATACATACAAAAAAATATAGAAATGTTGATGTTGAAATTATGTGCATATAATTATTATTATATATAATTATGCAATTGTATATTTGTCATAATAGCTTTTAATTACGATCGTACATTATATTTTCTAATTCTAATTACGTATTTTATTATTTTCACATCTTCATGAAAAATTTAAATGAAACAGCTTGACTTGCATAAAATGAATAGGTACAAAACTGAAAAGGAAAATAAATTCTTAGAATTTTTTATTTCGTAAACGTAATAACCGTAAGTGTGTTCCATTTCTAGAACAGAAATATCGTCTAATTGTTCCCCTGGAAAAAGGCCCCTTTCTGCCTTTTGCTATCATAATAATAACAACAATGATAACTATAACAGCAATTGCTACAAGCCATCACGAACAAAACCGTTAACAATGGTTATGGTATACAATATATTTCCACGAAGTCGGCATAAAAAATATCTTTATACAAGTATGAAAATATGCAATATATAAATTACATTGATTTATATATACTCTTATACAATATAATAATGACAATAACATTGACAATAATATAGTAATTATACAGAACATTATGGGAACTAGCAAGACAGGGCATAGTAAAGAGGATAAATTTTTAATTATTTTCATATTTAAAACTATTCCATGAAATTTGTGTGTCTTAAAATATTTACAACAGAATTGTTAATTGATTGTGTTTCGCTGATTCTTAATCGATTGTGTTTCGATATTTCGTTGTAAAAAGTCATTGTCAAGAAATTGACGAAGTTTCATTAAGATTCACATTTTTGTCTCATTGGTGCGTATTACGTCGTTATTCATTAATATGGTAGTGTCGTTGCGCTTGTCTTAGCACCAAGATATCATATCTCCCGATTTTGCGAAGCGGGATATTCGTATATTTTATTGTCGTAGTATCGATTATCGATATGTCCTTAAATCAGTTCAAGCACATTGATAATAGCATCGCTTTCTTACGTATAGGATCCATTCTTGAGGGTTGGCATAAAAATATTATATGTATCTTTTATTCGTACATGAATAAGTGTCTTAGAAGAATAGTTACATAGAAAAAATTCTAATTTTGAAAGCATTCGGAATTAGCTTTTACGAAGAAATAAAAAAACGCTAATGGACTGCTCAACTTCGTAGTTATTACGATCATCTTTCGGCTTAAGCTTCATATTTAATAAATTTAAGAACGATTGATAAAATTTCTTTATTTAACAATTGGTATGATATGTGATTATAATCCTCTAAAAATTCAACTATCTCGAAATAAATCATGCCTTTCGCTTTGGCAACATTTGACGCATCTTTTTTCGGAGATGTCGCATACGCGTTTTTTAATTCTGAAAATAAATCTATTCCTGCCTTAAACTTATGAAATATGAAATAATAGGCTTTCCTAGACGTACTAATTGCGTTAACTTTCTAGATATTTGCTAGATATACTGCTCATGCGACGTCTTCGCACCATCTTCGCAAGAACACCGAAGAAGGCAAGTCACATTTCGATTCCCTCATAGTCGATCGTCGTATCCTTATTGATCCCTCGCATATCCCTAAGGATATATCCTTATATACTATTATCGCATTGTACTACATTTTATTCATAGTAACTTTCAATTTTACATTTATCGCCGTAAGAATCACAACGACTGTTACACTCTCTGATAATCCTTTAGAGATGCTCGCAAGACGATCACGCGTCTTACTAACTGGATATCGAAGAATGTACGTTGAATGGAAAAATCATTTTTAATCTGAAAATATCGATGTTTTTCCGAAGTGGAACGTGCTGTATACAATTAGCTAATTAGCTTTCTAATAAAAATGTGCGCATTTCAGAAGAATATTCAATTTGATGAATTTGCTTATTCAGCATCCTTCACGCACACTTAAACTATTCGTCAGATTTTGTTGTCGATTAAATTTCGTACGCATCTAAATAATCTCTATTTCTTGATAGTATATTATATTTATTATATGAAACGCAATTCTGTGTATAATACCTACTATGAAATTCAGATGATAAATCGAATAATTTAACGTTGAAAAAAAATCTAAACACGAATCTGCTTCGAAGTTCGGTGTGATCTTTACGCAAATGAAGCTTAGAATTTAAAGAACACTGAATACGATTCTTCCATATCAAATATGAATAAACGAAATTCAAAATCAGTTCAGCATCTTTACAGGGCCGTATTCGTAGTCAAAACTTACATCAAAAACATGATTCACGCGATTTATCTTATTTTTCTCGAATTCATCTTATTTCTAATTTTGTAACCAGAATACATTTAGAACTGATATGATTCAGTTTCTTTGGAAACGAAAATATATTTTTAACATTCGCAGCCTCCGCGCGAGGATGTCAAATATAACATATTTTTAATATACATATATTTAATATGATTAAATAACATTTTAAATAAAATATATATTTTTTAAATATGTCATTTTGAAAATAAAGAATAACAATTGTGAATGTTGAAAATTACATTTTTAAAAGAGAGAAAAAGTTTTTTTCTCGGTTAACTATATCAATCTTGTAATTACTGTGCATTTTTTAATAAAAATAATGTTTGAGGAATATAATTTCAAATAAAAAATAATATGACTCGACCATAATTAAATTAGTAATGACAATAAGAAAGATTATGTCGTTAGTTCGTATTAGTATAGTAATATTTTCGCTTTCTTGTCTTTACTAATATAATTTCAATTAAACTATTGATGCTTGAGGCTAGGAATATGATACAAGAGTACAAATTCAGGTATGATAAAAGTATTTATTATAAAGTTTTGATTTTTTGCTATTCTTTATATGCGTCATTGCTTTTATATATAAAATAACAAGTACTTGTGAAACGTTTTGAAATGTTTTATCTAAAAATTTTCATGCATTAAACAATTTTGTTTGCCTTCCTGTAATGGTATACTACACATTTAAATAGATAAATAAGAACAACTTGCTTTTAAATGTTTCTTCTAAACATTATTTGATTAATGCACAGTAATTACAACATATTATGCTGCAATATATGAAATTATATACAAAAACATAATGTAAACACTTAATCCATAAAATGTTTCACATGTCAATTTATACTCACGGTCGAATGAGTTAATTTTTTTTTAACTAAGTTAAGTTAAAAAAAAGTTAATTAACACAATCTTGAAAATTTAACTTAATTAAAATATAAATTAAACCATAATAAAATTAATTGAATTAGAAATTAAGTTAATACAAAAAAGTAATTAAAAAGTTAAAAGTTAAATTTGATCCAAACAAATAATAAAAAAAGAAAAAATTTGATCGTTTTATATTGCATTTTTCCTTTCTCACAGCATATTCATTAAAGAAAATCGCTGGTTTTTATTTACAACTAACGATTGTATAATATAAAGGACAAAATTACTAAATTATATTATATATTCATCATTCTCTAGCATTGTCTGAGGGTTAACTTCAAAAAAGTCAAATAAAAAGTTAATATTTACCGATAAACTGTAACTAAATTAAGTTAAAAAGTTAAGAATCTGAAATATAACTACGTTAAGTTAAAATTAATTAACTTTTTAATCTAACTTTTAATTTTTTAACTTAGCACTACCCAACCTGATTTATACCGTATAAGATATTTTAATGACAGTTTGTTGTGAGCATTTTAATTGAATAACTTATAATATTATACACATAATATCAGAAATGTAAGTAGATAACATTACTTGTAATGCCGTTAATTTTCTTATCGTTACTTATCATTTCTGCATAATATGTATATAATATATATAATTTAAGAGGCAACTGTACATATAACTTGTATACTATATATATTTCGCGATAGTATTTAAAATCTCTATTCGAATTTATTTAAAAACAAGCTTGTCAATAATAGCGTCAACAAATAATAAAGACTAAACGGTAATGACACTTAAGCTTTAAAAAATTGGATATTATAAATTAAAAAATTATAATTAAATTTTCCTCCTAAAAAAGTTGACTTTTTTGTTCCTTTTATTTACTGCATTATTATTCAACACTTTCATGCGCACTAAAAAGCTCGATACATTCCTTACAGAAATCCTTACAGAAAGAGTATATTAGAAATTATTTATTTTGAATATTAAAAATAACAATAGTGCTTTTAATATTTACAATAAATAATTAATCACAATCTTCTAGTATTAAGTTTCTATAAGGAATGTACGAAGAGTGATATATTGTCAAACGACACGTATCTATAAACTTTTTCATTTTTCTTATTTGTTTTGATATTGTTTTTTAAAATGGCATTATAAAATATATAAAGCGACGAGCTTTAGGAAGGGATAACTTGAACAGTAACATATATGCCTTGCCTTATAACTACAAGCTCGTCTTACAATTACAATTATATCTAATATTTATATATATATATATGACTATGAATACGACCGGCGAGCTGCATTGACAATTCAAAAATTTGATCGCAAATCAATGATTTTCTATAACTATATTTTCTTTATAAACAATAATATCATATCTATAATAACAATGAAAGAGAACCGATCTAATTCTGATTACACTATAATCCTCAAACGTCGATTCTCTTTCGGCAAGGCCTTGCCTTATCACTAATAGCGAATGTTGCTTTTGTAGAACTTGCAGTTAAATGTTTCGAATGACACTTAAGATTTTGAATTTTCAAACTTTGTTACTTTTCTGGTAGATAAATTCGATAATAATCACCAATTCTGAAATAGAAAAACCGATAGAATTTCCAAGTTCTACAAGTAATTGTACGCTCCAGAGTGTATTTTCGGATGTGTGCGTATATCGCTCCGATGTATCTTCACCACGACTTTATTATTCGTTTAGCACGCAGGTGCGGACCAGGGCGTCGCAGACGGAGTAGGGATCGCAATTGCTGCTAGGCCTCCTGTCTTCCAGATAGCCCTTCTTCTCCTCGGCAACACCACGGGGAATGCGGATGCTGACGTTTCGGTTGGCCACCCCAGCACTGAAGTCATGAATATTACTGGTCTCGCATTTGCCGGTCAGCCTACGCTCGTTGTCCTTCCCTCCGCGCGGATCATACGCTTGGATATGCCTGAGATGTTGCTTGCTGAGCTTGTCAATCGCTTTTTCGATTTCAGCGATACCGTTATCGCCGCGCATCGCCTTCGTCGAAAAGTTGGTGTGGGCACCGGCGCCGTTCCACGAGCCGTCCACTGGCTTCGGGTCCAGGCTGACGATTACACCGTATTCTTCGGCGACGCGATGCAGAATGAATCGGGCGATCCATAGATCATCTCCGGCGTTGATGCCCGTGCACGGTCCTACCTGAATCCATATAGTAAAAAAACACGATAATAGATAACTCTTTGTAAAGAGATATTTTCTTCCCGCAAGAGAACATTATAAATTAAATTAAAGTCCCGAGTTACATAAAGTTTACATTATAAATTAAGTTTTCGATAAAAAGTACAGTTATTAAATTAAATATTGCGTTATGATCTTGATTGAATTTTTCCTACTTTTAAGTAGGTATATCTTATTCTTCAGATTTTAATATTCAAAATGCAAAAAAGTCGTTTTCAATTACATTAAATTTAAATAAAGTTACATTTTAATTCAAACGAACACTGGAATCCATGAATATCAGTTAAGGAAATTTCGGAGCAAATATCAATCAGGGTTAAATATCAATTAGAGCTAAATCTATAATCGAAGTTAATTATCTGATTAGACAACATCTTAATCTTAAAAAAAAAGAATTCCCTTATCGTCTGTCTAATTGTTATCAAAAAAAGATTGTTCTCGAATTAAGAATGTATTATGTACGTATTCTCTATCTTTTATTACAACGATTTGATTACTCACCTGGAACTCCCATTGCGAAGGCATCACCTCGGCGTTGGTTCCCGCGAGCTTCACGCCAGCGTACAGGCAGGCCCTGTAATGGGCCTCGACGATTTCGCGACCGATGACTTTGTCGGCGCCGACGCCACAGTAATAAGGACCCTGTGGGCCTGGGAAGCCATTCTTAGGCCAGCCGAGTGGCCTACCATCGAAGTCCAAAAGAGTATACTCTTGTTCGATACCGAACCAGGGCTCTTGATCCTTGATAGACTCCATCGCCTGGTTTGCGCGGCATCGCTTGTTCGATTTCGTTGGCGTCTTGTCGCTGTAGTAGGTATCGCACAGTACGAGCTTGTTATTACCGCGACGAAAAGGATCGTTATAAATCGCCACCGGGTAGAGGAATATATCACTGTTGGCACCGTCGGCCTGGTACGTCGAACTGCCATCGTAAGTCCACGTTGGTAGATCTAGAAAAGATATATAATCGAGTAGTTAATATTTCGTTTAAAAATAGCAATGAGTTAATTAAGCGGCTCGTGTTTACTGGAATTACTGGAACTCAATTCTTTCGTATTATTATAGTGAAATTGCGATTCGAGTTTCTTCAGTTACTATTTTCCACAACTATTTAATAGAACATAAATTATTAATCTAAATAAATTATTAACAACGAATATTATGCTACAAACTGAAAAAAATATTGTTATATGAAAAAATATTTCGTAATGGCGATATGTAATGCGAGGTGGATGAGCATTTATATTTTTACTATATACTAATACTTCATTAGCAACGCGCATATTAAATTAAAATTTTTATCGCTTTATTCTGACAGCTCAGTAATCTCATATTATCGGTTAAGCGATTATTAATTTCCATAATAAAGATTACAGTATCAAGTGACGCTATATTTTTTATTGTTTTATTACAGGATATATTAGACTTCTACAAAATTATTTCTTTGTGACACATCATAAAATGACGCTCATGATTCGCGAGCGTATTAATAACAGAACGATCAGTAACTCGTTATTAATGAGTGAATGATGGAATCCTATTTACACAATTCTCCAAGGAATATCCTTGGACGTCCTTAGGATATCTCTTGGAGAACTGTGTGTTGGTTGTGTGGGTGGCCACACCAGGTATACCAATATTTCAGTAGAATTTATGAAAAATCATTCAATTGCAAAACAATCGGTAAATATATGTATCGAATAATGTCAAGATCAAGGTGAGAGGGGGCTATCCTATTCGACCTAAATAATAATAATACAAAGCTCTCGATGTCAAAACAACAATATGACAATGTGAAGGGCAATTCGAGAATTGTGGCAGAAATTAATTAAAAATTAATACATGAAAAAATTAAATATATATAATTGAAACGTTTGAAATAGCGTACGTGACATATGTTTCAATTGCCCTTCACATTGTCATATTTGTTCTATTCGACATAATTATCTTTCGTTATTAAAAGTATTTGTTAAAATTAGAAATATCAAGATATTAAATATTCAAAATCTCTGATACATCTAAATTATTTTAAAAGAAAATTGTAATAAAAACGCTACAAAATAGATAAATATTTAAAATAATATCAATTCGAATACATCATAGACAAAATTAGATAATCTATCAGATTATTAATATACGTGTTGTGCACTTACCGGACGGATGTTTCGGTACAAAGTTTAGAGTTCTGGTCTTGCTACGTAATCCTTCACCAGTACCGTCGATCCAGATGTATTTCGCTTGGATCGCATTTTCCGGTTGGGGCAGATCAAAATACTTTTGCAATAGAGTTTTGTCTAACGCTGCATTTGGTGAATCTTTTAGCATACTGCGCGACATAGTGGTACTGTAATAAAAGCAAGAATATTGAAATAAATAAATAATTAAATAGGTATACATCTCGAATCGTAATCATCTTTTGTATAATAAAGAAGCAGTAAGAATTAAAAAAAAAGATGAGGTGTAAATTTAACCATGTAACTAAAAAACGATTTGTAGAATTTTCCATGCTTTGATTAGATGGTAATTAAATATTTTATATAATACTTTATTCGAAATAAACACAAGACAGAACATTTTATTTTACAAAAATTTTTCGAAATAATCTCTTCCTATTTTGATGCATTTTCTGAACGAGTCTCTGAGCCTTCGTTCCATACTTTATTGCATATTCCTAGAGCGTTACGTAGATATTTGTAATATATTTATTTACGATATGCTCTTTTAAAATACAGATATTTCGTATTTTAAAATTTCGTAAACAATGAATTTTAAAGGTGCTCCCAAAGATAAAAATCCATTCAAATTCAGTGATTATTAAGCAGATTATGCATTTTTTTTGTATTTATGACATCTTTTGTTCGCCACATTAAAAACTACAATTTGTGTGTGTGTGTGCAAATTAATTAATAATATTATTAATAATTATAAGAAATATTTATAATCTGTGCAATCTAAGACCATAAAAATATTTACAAAATATATGTATGAAATAAATCTTATAAATATTTATACAAATGTTTTGTAAATATTTTATAAATATTGTGTGTGCTGCTCAAGAAATATTGTATATATGATATATATATGTATATAATGTTATAAGATAAACATATGCAATTACTGTAACATAGTTATTATAGTATTTAACGTATAGTGTCCAAGGACGTTCAATGACCGTTACGTGCTGTCTGGGGCATTAGAGTCATTGATTTATGGATATTTTTGAACGTCACATTCCGTATCGTTCCAGATAAAAAATATCGTTAAAAAAAAATAAGGTCACGTATTGATACATTTAACTGTATTAGTCCTACTAATTTTTTATTATATTTTTTTATATAAATCTGTATTAGACTCTGCATGCAATTTTAATAGCTCGATCGAATTTGAACGAATTCCGCATCGACTTTACATTGCAAATAAAATTGCTTTGCATTTCGCTAAAGCTAAAGCATTTTGTCAGGGTGTTTCGTGACGCATATATTTCTTGGAAAGTGACGTGCGGCGACGCGGTGCGGCGCGGCGCCGTGGAAACACGACCGCGTGGCGTGCGTCGCGCCGCGCGTCCTCGATGGCGGCTATGACGGCGACTGTGACGGCGCGGCGGTATGACGCGCGTGCCGCATTCATGATACAATACAAAGCACGCGTAAAAGAAAGGCTTTAATTGTAGTGGTACTGTGAAAAAGATAGGTGCGCCTACATATAGGGGTTTCACGCGCGGAGCACGCGAGGCATGCGTGCCGTCGTACTGCGCCGCCGCCGTGCCGCTCCGCACCGCGCTGCATCCAAGGAGCGGCGACGTGGTGGTATGAGCGAGATTTTTTTCCCTGGTTCTTAACCGAATAATAGATAAACAATTGATATAAACATAAAAAAAAAACAGAGAAGAAATAAGAATCTCTGGTCTTATTTGTGATAGTAATGTTATCTTTGACAGTTCGAATGGAGATTTCCATATATTATGTCGAAATAAAATAACTGATCCGTGATATTTTCTCCAGCATAAATTTTCCACTCTTCCAATGAAATTTTTCTATTGCAAATTAACACAGATATTTTTCTCCGGTATCTGGACGGCATAGGAATTTTTATTATTTTTTAAATAAAGTAATTGCTTAAACTTTTCAGAAATGTTTTTATGAGTAAGCGACAATTGAATCTAATATATATTATTAATTCATATAATCTATTTGGGTATGGAAATTATTATTTTCTTTTAATAAAGTGACTGTTTAAATATTCTCAGTTTGTTTTTATAAATAAGTAGCAATTCTAGAGAATATATTTGCTATTTCAGTATAATCTATTTGACCTCAGAACTTTGACAGTTCGAATCGATTTCCATAAATCTAACGATCTAATTTTTGATATTTTTTTCAACATAAAATTTTCACTGTTCCAATTTTTTTATCTTAAAATAAAACAGATATTTATCTCTGATATTGGACAAATATCGAAATTTTTTACTTTCTTTCTATGAGGTGATTCAATATTGTTTAAATATTTTTATAAACGGATGAATACAAAGCGTTTTTTTAAATTCTAACCCTTATGCTTGTCGTATACGTGTGTAATCGGGGTCTGATACCATAAATAAAAGTCACGTCGAGAATGGAGAAGTGATCGAACCTGGGACGATCGATCGAGCGGAAAATTTTCGACTTTCAACTTTCGCCTTGGCAAGGCTGAATGCCTTTTTGTGCAATATCTTCTCCGGTGATTGCGTAATTCATTCGTTGATCGAATGCTCCGGTTTGAAATATTACTATTCTCGAAGATACATTATCTGTGATTTATATAGATAAAGTACACGCGCGCGCGCAATTCCGAGAGTCGTAAAAATTGTTTTTAGCAGATAGCTTGATTCTACAATTATCGCGATGCATTACTACCCCTACTTCCTTTTTCTGTCATTATCTGTTTATTCTCATATTGTTATCTTAATAATGAAAAAAACACTCAAGAAAGTGATAATATAAAATCTAGAATGCAGCATTGACTTAATTTTAACAATTTAAATTAATTAATGTAAATTTTGAACATTAAGTGTGCCGCCAAAAGCGCGTAACTTTTTACAAAAGAATAAATTTAAGAAACATATTCAAACTTCTAATTTATACTTCTTATTATTTTACGATTTATATCTCACTTAATTTCATATATAAACTTTATCAAATTTATACTTTTCAAATTAATTGTTAATATATTTAAAATTAAACTTTCTGTAATAGGATATTATTCCGAAGCAGCGATTAATTTTTTGACTGGTGTTTTAACAGTCTGATATCAATATTAGAGTTTAGTGCAGATGACGCACAGAGAGATAAAATTTATTATAAATGCAAAAAAAATTACAAAATTTAATCGTCAAATTTGTTTGACATTTATAGAAAACGTATTTGCATATTTGATAAAAATATTTTGCATTTGTTGCAAATAATTTTTGTAGCGAGTATGTGATCAGAAAAGATGAATAATTTTCGAATTATATGTGTTATTCAAGATTAGACTATTAACAACGTCTATTAAATATTTTTGAGCGGTACATTGTACCTACGATAGACATTTGCAGGATTTGATTTGGACGTCCATAAGACGTCGGTTTGTTGCTTGGGTATGTGCTACTTTTTCTATTAAAAGTTTCTCCTAAGGTTTTTTACACGACGTATCTTATATACCTATTATGTATATATAATTGACAGACAAGAGAAAACTTGCACAGCAGCTCTTTGGTCACGTGCAAACAAGAGGTCACTTTTATGCAACGCATACATAGTCATCTTAATCATTCAGTTGATGAGTTATATGCTTGACGAGTGTCGACCTTTTTTTATCGTAATTGCGAGATGATTGCAACTAATCGAAAAGCTTGAGCACAATTAACAACCTGACAAGTGTAATTTTACTAGTTTTGAAAAATGTTATAATACGATAATATTAAAAAATTATAATATAATAATACAGTGTAATATTTACAACACTTCAATATATGTATGGGAAAGTACGTATGTACATATGTGATTTTTTGAGACTTACAGTTTATAAAGAAAACATTATTGTGTGTGTGTGTGTGTGTGTGTGTGTGTGTGTGTGTGTGTGTGTGTGTGTGTGTGTGTGTGTGTGTGTGTGTAACTTTTTGCTATATTATTAATTATTTTCATCTAAAAATTTTCCTCTATAGTTTGTACGTAGTTTTTTCGTTTAGAATCAGTAATAAAAATTGTGATATATTTTTTGAAATCAAATCAAACGCGTAATATTTTGTATAATAATATTTATAAGTACTCATCTTAATAAATTTATAATTTGTCATTTATAGAAATTTAATGTCTTTTTATATTAAAATTGTTTAATTAAAATTAACTTATGATTGATATTTCTTTCTCTTATCATTAAATATATTTAATTAAGTATTTAAAAATAATTTCATCATAAGTTTTGCCGTCAAAATATTTTATTATGGTTGGTAAACTTTTTTCTTGTGTTAATATAGTTCATCTATCTTATTTACATCTTTTGTTTGTAAAGTGTTCTTTTTTGCACATTCTTATTAGGATTTTTCATTTCCGCTCGTAATCTACGAGGAAAGATTAAAAGATGAAAATAAATATGAAGGTTAATGTACTTCCTGCTAAACTCGAATGGATGCAGGGTGAATGTATTCGTAACGATCACCGACCTTTGCTCGATTCTGAGTTCGTTGTTTGCTATAAGCAGCCAATAGTGGCCAATAATGTGCACGTGCATCAATGCGTCATGTCGCTCGCATATCTGGACACGTGGACAGAAAGTGATGTCATGAAAACCACAATATATACCATCTGTTAACGTCTTACAATTGGCTTTAGGATGTGATGAATTTAAGGCATTTAAGTACATTTTTTCTGTTGTTCTCTAGATCATTATCGGAGCCAATGAAGCAAATAACAGAAGAAAAAGAAAAAGAAGAAGAAAAGAAAAAATCTTTTTTTTTTGTTTTTTATTAATACTTTGATTGTCAAGCTAATTTCTGCATTGTTAAATTTAATAAGTCTAGTGTATCACTTTAATATTTTATTGCTTTTTTAATGTCTCGATATATATTCTTTTTTTAATATTTTAAATATTTATTCTTGGATTATTAAATAAAATCAGCCTACATAAGTAGAATGATGATAACGTCAAAATTACTTTAAAATAAATTACGTTAATCAAAAATGATTTAATAATATCATTTCGGAGTTTTTCTGAGGTCATCATAATTTTTTGTTCTGCTTGATTAATCTTTAATAATGGAAACTTTTAAATTTGAAACGAATCCAGTAAAATTTTCCTATATTAGGAGGCGAATGAGAGTGCCACGTT